GAACAGTTATACAGTTATAAGAGTAGTGAGTCAGAAGTCAGAAGTCACATTTAGACATTTAGTCAGTACTTATACTGATACCTGAGCTCAATGGCAGCAACATTTAAAATGTTACCTAGCCATGAGCACTTTCCAGTTCCAGTTCCAACTTCCCAGCCTCTGAGGGACATTGATTTGAATCATTGATACACATACATGAATACATGATACACTGATACAGAGGCATAAATTTATCATGAAATCAAATCAAATAAGTAATCACAAATTCAGATTTCAAAATAAACTAATGGAAACTGTAAACATACAACAATTGTAGGCATTCTAGTTCCAGTGCTGGATGTGCTGCACAACTCTGCAGTACAAAAACAAACTGGAAATTAGAACTTAAACAATTAAACATTTAAACAGATCATTGCTGGAAGTTAGAAGTATATACCTTTCTCAATCCTTTCAACATCTTCAATATTTTCTTCAATTGAGATTGGTTGATTGCTTAATCTTAGCCAATCCTGTGCACACACCAATGCCTCAACAATTCTAGGAGTTAGGGAACTCCTAAAGGCATCAAGTACCCTTCCACTTGTACTGAATGCTGATTCTGAAGCAACAGTTGATATTGGAACAGCTAGGATATCCCTTGCCATTTTAGATAAGACAGGGAACCTTTCAGATTGTTGCTTCCACCATCTTAGAAGGTCAAATGAATCATCCTCATCCACAATAACCTCAGAGAGATACACTTCCAACTCAGTTTTTTTCCTAGACAAATCCCCACTCACCAATTTTTGCTTCTTAATCTGAGATTTCAGTAATGATTGAGGTCTCCCAACAGAAACAGAATCAGATATTGTTATTGATGGAGAAAATTTTTCAGATTGTTCAACAGACTGGACAGGGAAGCATGCAACATAATCTTCAAACAACTCCTTAAGGCCAACAATCACCTTATCAAACATTGTTTTACCCTTTTCCTCACCATATAACTGGTTAAACTGAATGGGCATATACTCAATTTTGTCCCTGGGGTCTAAGATATTTGCATAGAATATCAAAAAATTCATTTTTTCAGGCTCACCCCAATACTTATCAAATTTTGCCCTCATATTTTTACCCATCAGTTTAACACTATCTTCTGTAGCTTCCTCCATATTTTTCAACAAGCAAGACAAATCGGAAATCTCAGAGAAGAAGGTATTAGAAGTCACATACAATGATCCAGAAATCCTAACAGTCATTTCATAAAAAGATTTCAGAATCATAACCAAAGATTAAATGGATTCCCAATCTAAGAAATCAGGTACACTTCCACCCAAATCAGATTTAAATGAATTGTCATGATCATCATAGGCTTCAAATACCTTCTGAAACAATAATGCAGTATTAAGCATCATATATGTGGAATTCCACCTTGTAGGGACATCTAGACACAGAGAACTCTTAGCTTCCACCCCAATTAGATCAGCTAGTGATTTAAACTTCTGCAACCTAGCAGGTGAGCTCCTCACATACCTAACAGCATCCCTGACTTTCTTAACAGAACTGTCACATTCTTTCAACCCGTCCTGTACCACCAAGTTAAAAATGTGAGCAATGCACCTCATGTGCAAATACTTACACCTAACAGCAGTACAACCCCAAGAGCCCAACTTCTTCTTCAAGAATCCTAGGGCAGTATCATTGCTGGAAGCATTATCTACTGTCACACTAAACACTGATTTTAGACCCCAGTCCAAAAGGCAACTCTCTAAAGCCTTTGCAATACTTTCCCCCTTGTGGGAATATATAGGAACAAATGAAATAATCTTCTTTTGCAGCTTCCACTCACTATCAATGAAATGTGCAGTTATGCACATGTAGTTTATTCTCTGGACTGAGGTCCAAGTATCAGTTGTGATACTTACCCTCTGACTGCTAGTCCTAAAAAAATTCTTCAAGTTGACCCTCTCATCAGAAAATATCTTGAAAATGTCCCTACTGATAGTCCATCTTGAAGGGATTTTAAACCTAGGACAGCAAACTAAAACAAACTTTCTAAAACCCTGTCCCTCAACAATCCTAAAAGGAAGTTCATCTAAAATAATCATCTCAGCTAAGGCTCTCCTTATCAAGTCTTGATCAAACACCCAAGTACCCAACACCCCTTCAGTTCCTTCACTACTTTGAGTTCCAGCAGAAGAAGGTGCAGGTTGGAATGTGAGTAGGGACTGCCTTGTCTCCTTAGAGTGAGGATTTTTAAGGCAGTTTACCACATGAAGTCTGAGAGAAGAAGTCCCATGTTTCTTGCTCTCACAGCAATACACTTTTGCACAATATATACATTTTCCTTTGATGACAATGCCATCACTGTCTTTGATCTTTTCAAAGTGATCCCAACATGGAGCCCTGGATTCAACCTCTTTCCTTTTCTTTGGAACAGGTGGAGGCAAAGGCTGCTGAGACTGAGGAGTAACAGTCTCTACAGCAGGTGCTTCCAACTCAGGTTGGGTTCCAGATACACCAGTAACACCACTAACACTTTCCATCTAAAAAGGGGAAAGTATCAGTGACACAGAATGGGAAATCACTCATTGAAAATCATCAACAGAGAATGGGCTTTGTCACATACACACATGTATCAATTAATTAAAGTGTTAAACACTTAATCAGGCAGAATTCAGTGAATTGAACATTTCATCATGTATGCAGAATTGCACATAAATGATTTAAGGGTCACATATCCATAAACTTACAATTTCACATTTTCACAGTTACAACTTACAACTAAGTAACTAACAACTTACAAATTACAATTTACAATGAAATCCATAATCAGGCATTCAAGCTAAGTAGATGTATGCTACTTTATATGCTCATCATTTATATGGATTTCAGTCACACATGAGTACAAGACACACTCCCACATTTATATGGCTTCCACAAGAATACCATCATGCTTAACATTTATAAGGATTTCAGTATTTCACACACAGTTCCTGAGTTCCACACTTCCACAGTGGCAAGGGGCTAGGGCAGTATGGCTTCCACCACAGATTAGGTTACAAATTAGAAACCCTAATCACACAATTCACAAATTCAAACTCAAAGGACTAGTGACATGCAATCCAGAACTTCTCAACGGATTTACAAGTATCATAGTCCAGTGAGTCCACAGATTAGGTTACAAATTAGAAACCCTAATCACACAATTCACAAATTCAAACTCAAAGGACTAGTGACATGCAATCCGGAACTTCTCAACGGATTTACAAGTATCATAGTCCAGTGAGTCCACAGATTAGGTTACAAATTAGAAACCCTAATCACACAATTCACAAATTCAAACTCAAAGGACTAGTGACATGCAATCCGGAACTTCTCAACGGATTTACAAGTATCACAGTCCACAACTCCACATAATCATAAAAATTAGAAACCCTAATCAAGAAGACAAATACACAATAATCTATAACGAAAATGAAAATAGGGTTTAGTAATTACTTCGTTTCTCAAATTTAATCCCTCGAGAACAAAGGGCTTCGGATCCACTATTCCACCGTTCCACAGTTCCACCGGAGTCCGGTGACTGGACTAGGGTCTAGGGCTTCCACCACTCCACCAGAGTCCAAACTAGTCGCTACTTCGAGTCTCCGAATAGGGCTTCCACCAGACTACAACTGAGAGAATTAGACTGAGAGAATTGAGATTTGAGAAGTGAGAACTCAGAGTCTTAGAGAGTAAGACTCAAAGACCAGAGCGAAAGAGAGAACGAGAGATGAGAGATGAGAGATTGAGACTTGAGAGAAGACTGAAATGGGAGCTCGGCTGCGCTGACCGGAATGGATAGTATATATACATATAACACACGACGTCGTATTACATAAGGGTAAAAAAACCCTAGGCTTCATCGGTTTCTCGGACGGGTTCGGGTGGCGTTTAATGCCTCCCACCCGAACCCTCTTCATCCGGCTAAAAACGGCCACTCGGTTCGGGTTTTGTCTTCGGATACGGGCCGCTCAACGGGCTCACCAGTCGGTTGTCGGTTGTCGGGCGGGTGGGTCGGGTTTCTCGGATTCTGCACACCCCTAGTTGGGGTACACAAAAATGGAGAAAACCCCCCAACTATTGAGGAGGCCCTTATTGCCCTTAGCAGACAACCAGAGATTAGCTGATTACTTGGTTTAATTGTATTATTTTACAATGTATGATTTTTATTTTTATTTTTTTGAATGCTACAATGTATTAGTTAATTACACGTTTTTAAATTTAATAATTTAATTACATTTTTATGGGCACTTCAAAGATTTATTTTATCAATTTTCTACTCTTTTTTTTTTCGTCACTTCAATTATGTCCTACATTCTTTGTTTTATTTCTTGGGAATAAAGGTCAAATAGGTCACTCAAGTGCATATCAAACTGCAATGAGGCTTTCGAACTCAAAAAAAAAAATTGTAACTGAATTTCTGAACAAAACAAACTTATGCAATTCAACATAAAATAACCTGTTTACCTGAAAGAATGCTGACATGACGGTCACCAATTTTAAAAATAATTTTAAATAAGATAATAATAATAATAATAATAATAATAATAATAATAATAATAATAATAATAATAATAACTGTCGGAGACTAATCGTCTCCACCAGCTTCGTCTCCATGACCAGAGACAAAGGTCTCTTGACTCTCTTCGTCTCTGGCCATGAAATCGTCATCGGCAATTCTTGTTATTTATTTATTTTATTTAAAATTATTTTTAAAATCGATAATTGTCACGTTAGCATATTTTCGAGTAAACTTGTCATTTTGTGTTAAATTACATAAGTTTGTGTTTTTTAGAGACCTAATTATATTTTTTGAGTTGGATTGCCTAATTATAATTTGGTATGTGGTTGAGTGGTGTGTTTGACCATTATTTATACTTCCTCGATCCCTTGTCTTATTACGCAAATATATATATTCCCCTAAAAGACTCAATCGCCATACGAAAATGGCTATTTATGAATTTATGATTTATCATTGGATTGTTGAAAATTTATCCATTAAAATATAAGGCAAGATGGCTAGTGCTCTACGTAAATGGTGGTTACGTAGGAATTTCTCTATCCTTATCACCTTGTCTGAATCTCTCAAATGCCTAAATGCTCCAACATTCATGCACACCAGAACGCAATGGCTGCTGTTGAGTACAAGGGCCTCACTTCAATCACCCTCTCAGACATCGAAGCTCTCGGAGTGGACACCGGAGTCGCCGTCGATCTTCTCCAGAAGCTCGCCGGAATCGTGAGTGATTGCGGCGCTGCCACTCCCCAGACATGGCAGCGAATCTCCCAAGACGTGCTCGCCCCTCACCTTCCTTTCTCTTTGCATCAGATGATGTATTACGGCTGCTACAAGGATTTCGGACCGGACCCTCCCGCTTGGTTACCCGACCCGTTAGTTCAACACCCATACTTGATTCTATGCCATCTTTTAATTTCATCTTCAGTTCTTCACTCTCTACATGAATGATAGAGCATTTATATGCTTAAAAACTTCCCCAGTT